GCGTAAGTCAGTTTATGAATGCTAGGTTATCGTTTGAGCGGTACACAGTTCCAAAAATCACAGCAAGGTAAGTCGTTCTTGAAAGCAATCAGAGTCCATTAAAATAGCCAAGTCGTAATGTTCAATATATAGTCCCGAAAGTCACCACAACACCGATACAATTATGTACAAAGACAATTACAATTCCAAACGACGCCAACCAATGTAACTTTGACAGAATTAGAGATGACGGTACAAAGTAGGCATGTCCATTTGAAATCGTTTAATCGATTGTTTATAGTAACAGAATCGATTTTCCAGATCGATATAGATCTGAAGAAACCTTGTCCGATGTCGATACAGAAATCTCTCGAATTGGACTTATTCAAGAACTAGCTATATTTCAAACGATTCAAGAAATACATTTGCATAGTTGGAACATCTGTTCCTTGTGATAGACAGAAAAACTGTTTTGTTCTGGGTTCGATCCCAGGGTCGGGCAAATTATTATTGGGTTTTTATAACTTGAAGTTTCCAGTAGTAGCACGGAGTCTGGATTTGTGTCCGGTGTTTGGCAAGACGCGCATCCCCTATTACATGGGATGTATAACATCACAGTACTTACACACCTCTACCTACTCCTTCTGGAAAATACTGGCGTAATATTATGTTTATTAATTTAATGATTTTTCTGTACAGTTACTTGTATTTACGGTAAGTTATCGTCAATAATGTTCTGTGTCTATATTAGGCATGTTTGAAAATGTCGCGATTGATCAAAAATAGATCTGTTAATGCTTCATTTAATCGATAATCGATTCTAGTATGTTCGATATGCATCGATTTGGAGATCGTATTTTTGTCATTAGAGACTGACAAGTGACCATTTAGTGACATCAAAAATAGGAGCGCCAAATACGATACGACTTATGAATATTTCCTAAGATTTATTATAGCCGTACGTTACAAACAGAATACCATCTATATAGTATATATCATCTTTTGTCATACGATAATATTAATATCATAACACTGCCCTACTTTACTTATAATAACACGTACGTCTCTACTTCTTCCATACTTGTAACAATATTAATAACAATATCTGTATCTAGTCTGCAATATTGCTCTTTTTAAAAAAAACACATTTATAATTAATGCAGTAACGATAACAGTTTTTTTTTTTTATCGTTTAGTAAGACGTAAAATATACTCTTGTCTAAACGATCATTAGAAAATCCTGAATAATTATTTTTACGAATATTTTTCTTCAGCAATATTCTAACTACCTATTCAAAATCGACTATGACATTGAATAGGTATAGTAGGTTTTTAAAATTATACTTGTAGGGAATAATATAAAAGAATATAAAGAAATGGTAATATAGTATTTTTATTGTAGCTTCTTTTAGCAACTTTATTCGAAATAAATTAAAATGTAATTCAGATTAAAAAATATACAACAGTTCATTAAAAATTCAATAATCGATTACAAATCGATTGTAATCGATTATTGAATTTTTAATGAACTGTTCATGCATGGCATCCCTAATCATTTTTCGACTCCACAAGATGTTTGGCGAAGATGGCGGCGATTTATGTTATTAGTCGAATATAATACTTATTAATGTTCATTTTTGCACGCAGCTAGTCCGTGTTATAAAAGTATTTGCAACTAATATAATAAAATAAAAAATTAATTATCGTGTATGTCCGATGCTTTTATTACACAGGGCGGTTTTGGACATTGTCCTTTTAAAACAATGAAATAATAAAATTCACCAAAGCAAAACTTAACTGAAAACAAATGCGTGTTCACAAAAGGCCGGCCAGTTTTCGTTTAAATTCTTTGAGGATATAGTCATACCCGAGAAACGACCCATTCGTGCTGCAACTATATAGTTGCAGCGTGGCTCTACCATGTAGTAAACAATCTCAATGCAATTACTGGGATGTCGCCTAAATAGGGGTGAAATTTTTCTTTCAATTTTATAGGGTATCACGCCTAAGGTAAGTTATTTAATAAATAAATAAAATATTTTTTTAGAATAGAATAGAATGATTTTTATTCAATATGGATTATTACATAATACTTATTGAAAGTCATTATTTTATTTACCACTGGTTCGGAAAATACCTCTGTCCAGGTAAGAACCAGCAAGAAACCAAGCGGGACTTTTTTTAAACATAATTTCACTTAACATTATTAAAATCGGATCACGATTGACAAAGATATCGTGGCACATATACATCAAAAACCTTCATCTTTTCTTTAAGCCGGTTAAAAGACTTGCCTCTATTAGTCTATAGCTTAGGTTTATTGCAGACTAGCGACAGATTTCGGCTTCGCCTGGGTAAGAACTATTAATATGGCCTTATTTACATTTAAGATAATCAATGTGTTATATCAAGCTCTCACTAGTAATTTGCATTAAGCGATGACCTCGATACAGCACCTGCTGACACCGCTCACGCGTGCCGCCACCGGACGCAACGTGATCACCGCCGCTGACACAGCACCCCGATTGACGTCAATGCGCGTTTACCGCGATGCAACATTTTTATTTTATAAAATTAATTTTAGGTATTCTGTATCTAGCATCGATCAGGCATAGACTTAAGTTTAATTGTAAAATTAGTTTTCATTAAATTTACTTAAATAAATTTGGTTTTTTTTGGGTCCTTCGGCTGTGGTTCCTATAACTGGCGCAGTCGGTAGGATACTCAAGGCGTCTTGAGGTAGTTTTGATAGGGTTTTCTCACATCGAAATCCCGCGTCGTAAATCAATCGCTACCGTCGCGAGCGATCGCGCGTCTTCGTGTATCCTTGAAAAGAACCTGGAGCCTGGCTGGAGGAGAAATCAAGAAATCGATCCCAGAGGAACCAGAATGCAATTTATGTAAGTACACTGAAACCGATTCTGTGTTGCTTCCTTTTACATATAATTTACCTTTTCTTTTACCGCCAAGATTTTTCATCCTAGGCAATCCATCCCTAGAGGGCCTGCGAATAATCGAGTGGCCCGTAGACTTAAATTAGATACAAATAGGAATATAAGTGTAGGTTCAAATACTTTATCGCATAATTCTAAGGGACTAAGCGATCCGGAATCCGCAATAATGGCTGACGTAGACGTAATTATTAAGGCCTTACGCCTAGTACCCGAATTCGACGGCAACTCGCATATTTTGCCCCGCTTTATAAATTTATGTGATCAGATCGCAGCGGAATATATAAATCAAAACGAAGGTAATGCATTAGCTAAACTTTACCTCGTGAATGGTATCTTAAATAAGATTACTGGACCTGCCGCACGAATAATTAATTCTAACGGTATAGCTGAAGATTGGAATAGCATTAAAACGGCTCTAATTAATAATTTCTCCGATCAGAGAGATGAGACCGCCCTTTATAATGATCTTATGATAACCACACAGGGGAATAGTTCGCCCCAAGAATTCTACGACCGATGTGTAAACTTGTTCAGCACCATTATGACCTATGTCACCTTACACGATACTGTCGATACGACTATTAAAGCTAAGCGCGACCTTTACAGAAAGCTCACGATGCAGGCATTTGTTCGCGGATTAAAAGAGCCGTTAGGCTCTCGCATACGATGCATGCGTCCTGATAGTGTAGAAAAGGCACTTGAATTTGTACAAGAAGAATTAAACGTAATGTATCTTCAGAATCGCAGTGGATCTGCCGCAGATAAAAAACCGCAGGCACCACAAGTACCCATGCCTTCGCCAATAGCCGCGTATAAATTCCCCGTACAACCAATGCCTATGCCCAATTTTAAATTCTCTCAACAACAATGGCGGCCGAATAATTTCAACAATGCTCCCGTACCGTATAGGCCTGTAGGTATGCCGACACGCACGCAACAGATATTCCGCGCGCAACCACCTAACTATAATCCACAACTTAATAGATTCCAACTCCCACCAAGAGGCGATTCATATAATTCAGGCCACAAGCCTATGAGTGGTGTAAGCCACTACGTCACAAAGGAAAGGCCCACGGGTGGTCAACTGTCAGGTCACGATTGGCGAAAATTCGGAAATCCGCCGCCATCTAACTACTTTAAGACTAGGGAGATGAACATGAACGAATTTGTGAACTATGGTGATGGTCATTGCTATTATTTTCCCGAGTACGCATATAATGAACCCAATGATTATTACTATGGGGTCTACCCGGAGTATTACGACCCAGAACCGATAAATTACGCGATTAGCGAGCTACCAAATTACGATTTACCTCAAGAGATCCCATCAGGATCCTACGTTGATCCCGAAATGCCTAGTACGAGCTCAGCACAGGAACAGGATTTTCCCAAGCAAGGGAAATCCGAAAAGCCAAAATAGAACTGAATTTGCAGTCACAGAGACAGCTCCCGTATATACGAATTTCAAACCCACCTCTAAAATTGTTAATCGATACGGGTGCTAACCAATCTTTTATTTGCCCGGAAGCTGTAGGTAAATTTTTTCACGAAATCCCGTTAAACTTTGACCCCTTCGAGGTGACAAATGTACACGCTACCACGCGCAACGATTATTCTATAACTTTGCCATGTTTCAGCGAATTTCGGGAAACAGAAAGTATTAAACTGTTCGTTTATAAATTTCATGACTTTTTCGACGGCCTTATCGGTTTAGATTTATTAGAAAACTGGGAGGCCAAAATTGATCTTAAAGATAAAAAATTATTCACTCGTAATTCTGTTACTCCAATTCATATGTATAATTCACGGAACATAAACTTTTATGAAGACGTGATCCCGGAAAAAACGACGAAGCTAGTTAGGGTCCCTATTAATTTGCAAGACGGAGACGCTTATATTGATGAACAGATTATCTCTAATTGCGTAGTAAATGAATGCCTAACCACCGTCAAAAATAATCGTGGTTTTCTTGAAATTACGAATCCAACCTTGCACGACTTAATATTTTCTATGGATCGCGCCGTTCATGCAGAGACTTATAACGTCCAATGCACGGGCATTGAACAAATGACGTCACGCGAACGCGAAGTACTTTCACGCTTGCGCACAGACCATCTTAATATGGAAGAGCGCATTAACTTAGAGAATCTGTGTCAAAAATATGCAGATATATTTTATATTGACGGAGAGGCCTTGACTTTTACAAATAAGATTAAACACAAGATTAGGACATCTGATGAGATGCCGGTCTTCACAAAAAGTTATCGTTACCCTTACATACACCGCGACGAGGTCAGGGATCAGATAGGGAAAATGCTAAGTCAGGGTATAATTAGACCATCGGAATCTGCCTGGAGCTCCCCTATTTGGATAGTACCAAAAAAACCTGATGCTTCAGGAAAGACCAAATGGCGTTTAGTCGTAGACTTTCGGAAATTAAATGAAAAAACTATTGACGACAAATATCCGATTCCCAACATTAATGACGTTTTGGATAAGCTAGGTAATTGCCAATATTTCTCAACCCTCGACCTGGCTAGCGGCTTCTATCAGGTCGAGATGGACCCAGAAGACATACCCAAAACAGCATTTAACGTAGAAAATGGGCATTACGAATTTTTACGCATGCCCATGGGCCTGAAAAATTCACCATCTACCTTCCAGCGGGTGATGGACAATGTCTTGAAGGGTCTCCAAAACGTCATCTGTCTGGTCTACCTCGACGACATAGTAGTTTTTAGTACCTCACTTCAAGAGCACATGATCAACCTCGAAAAGGTATTTTCAAGGCTTAGAGAATCAAACTTCAAAGTCCAAATGGACAAGTCCGAATTTCTCAAACGAGAGACCGCCTATTTAGGGCATGTTATTACCAAAGACGGCATCAAGCCGAACCCTGACAAGATTAGGGCTATTAAGAACTATCCAATGCCCAGAACCCCCAAAGAAATTAAGCAATTCCTAGGCCTAGTAGGGTATTATAGAAAATTTATCCCGAACTTCGCGCGCATCACTAAGCCATTTACACAATGCCTAAAGAAAGGAAACAAAGTTGTTATTAATTCAGAATATACAGATTGCTTTGAAAAATGTAAAAACCTTTTAACTAATGATCCGATTTTGCAATACCCAAACTTTAATAAGGAGTTCATCTTAACTACCGATGCTTCCAACGTAGCTTTAGGCGCTATATTATCACGAGGCCCCGAAGGTGCAGACAAACCGATTTGTTACGCTTCTCGCACGCTAAACGACAGTGAGTTAAATTATAGCACAATAGAGAAGGAGCTCCTCGCGATCGTTTGGCAACCAAATATTTCCGGCCCTACCTTTTTGGCCGCAAATTTAAAATCATTACCGACCATAAGCCGCTTCAGTGGGTCATGCAGCTAAAAGAACCTAATGCGCGTCTAACTAGATGGAAACTCAAGTTATCCGAGTATGATTTCACTGTTAAGTATAAAAGTGGTAAATCGAATACTAACGCTGATGCCCTTTCGCGCGTCGAGATACATAACGAGGAAACGGATTCGATGATTGCTCTCGCGTCGGAACGACCGCCCTCTGTGGAAAATTCGTCCACAGCATCCGCACATACCAGTAAGGAAAACCCCATTCTCGAAGTTCCTATTGTAGACCAGCCGCTTAACAAATTCCATAGGCAGATTGTTATCTCCGTGGTTGGTGACATAAAGAAACGCCCCGTAGCTTCCAAGCCGTTTGACACTCATAACAGAATAGCTGTGCAAGTATCTAAATCAGACCTTGAGAATGACGTTGTAAACCTTGTAAAGGAATACGTAATCCCTAAAGTTAAGACGGCCTTACTTATCAATCCGCCTTTAGCAATGTACGACATTATTCCAGTCATACAGGATAAGTTTAAAAATTCGGCCATGAATTTAGTGCTAACAAAAACTGAGGTGGAAAATGTAAATGACTATTTAAGGCAGCAGGAGATTATCAAAAATTATCATGACGGTAAAACTAACCACCGTGGTATAAATGAGTGTCATCTTGCCTTGTCTTGCCGTTATTACTGGCCAAAGATGCGAGATCAAATTACCAAAATTATCAATGATTGTACTATCTGTGGCCAAGCTAAGTACGATCGTAATCCCATCAAACCGCAATTTAACATCGTTCCTCCTGCTACTAAACCGTTCGAAATTGTGCACATAGATTTGCTTTCTATACAAAATGAGAAATATTTAACTATTGTAGATGCGTTTTCCAAATACGCGCAGGCATACCATGTTCGCGATGCCACGGCAATCAGTATCGTTCAAGCACTGTTAAATTTTTGCACTCATCATGGGCTACCTCTAACAATAGTATCAGACAATGGCACAGAATTTACCAATCAGATATTTAATGACTTTACTAATTTACACCGGATTAACCATCACAGAATACTACCTCACTCCCCCAACGATAACGGCTTAGTAGAAAGGTTCCACGCGACGATTCTGGAACATATCAGAATCCTAAAATTACGCAATAAAAGTGAGAATGCTATAAACCTTATGCCATATGCAATTTTAGCTTACAATAGCTCCGTACACAGCTTTACCAAATGCAGACCTTTTGATATTATAACTGGGCATTTCGACCCGCGAGACCCCTTTGACGTAGATATGACGAAACACTTAACGCAGCAATACGTACAGAATCATAAGGATCAGATGAAGTTAGTTTATGAAACGCTGGGGGAAATTAGCCTGGCTGACCGTACCAGCATCATAAATAACCGTAATAAAGATCGCGATCCTGAAATCGAATATCAGCCACATCAGCGTATTTTTGTGAAGAACCCTCTTGCGAGTCGTCAAAAGTTGGCCCCTAGGTATAGTCGTGACAAAGTATTGGCAGACTTACCTATACATATATACACCTCACGAAAACGCGGGCCTGTTGCCAAAAATCGTCTTAAAAGAATACCCAAAAGTGCCAAATTGTTACAGGGTGCTACTGGTCCTGACTGCTCCTTCGATAGCATCCCACAGGATGAGTCAAGAGATAACACTTGAGAGCCTTGACGATGGCCCCGGACTTCTACCTTTTCGGCTTGGCGCAACAAGGCTCATTACGCACTATCATACTTTTATACAATTCGTAGAATTAGATGATATTAATGATAAAATCTCGCAGCTACAGAATCAACTAATATATTTTAGACAAACTCTAGGAAACGATACTTATATGCTTTATGAGGCTCAAATAGAATTCCTATTCATCAAACTTAGTAAGGTCTTAAACCAATTAGAAACCTTAAAACCCCATCGTATAAAGAGAGGCCTCGTAGACGGACTCGGTTCAATAATTAAGAGCGTTACTGGTAATTTAGATAATTCAGATGCCGTGAAGTATGACAATGCAATTAAAATCCTTCAGCAAAATAGTAACGTTATTTTTCATGAATTTAACAATCACGTAAGTCTTAGTAAAGAGTGGATGGTCCAGCATTCTAATGTGTTAGAAGAGTTAGTCGAGAATCAAGTAAAAATAAATGAAACGTTACAATTAATTTTAGATAGAAATAGTTATAAAGATTCTAGCCTACTAAAATATGCTAAATTTGCTCAGTACCTTGCTATTTTAACTGAAAATATTGACGAAATATTCAGTGAGCTAACTAGAATTGAAAATATCATAGCTTTTATTCACGCTTCAACTTTACATCATTCCATGATTAGTATAGATGTTTTAAACCATATGATTCAACGCTTAATTACTATCTATGGTAAGGAGCATGTGTTGCAATTAGAACTTAGGGAATACTATGACATAATTAAACCAGGATACTATTACTCTGATAATAGGATAGTCATAATTTTTAATATACCGCTATTTACTAAGGATAGTTACAATCTCTATAAATTATCCATGGCCCCCAATAAGTTTAAGCAGGCCCTCGTCCCTCCTTTTCCTTTAATAGCAACCAACAGAAAAGGTTATGTGTATATAGAGGCTGAATGCCCGAAGTTTAAGGACTGGTACCTCTGTGGAGAGACAATGGACCATCAGCTACGACAAGTCCCAGACTGTATCCAGAATCTTTTAATAAATCAAGCCATCGACAAGACCTGCGACGTTGTTACAATAACCCTATCAAGACCAGCTATGGAAGAATTAGACGAGAAACATTATATCCTGTCTTTCCCCAATGCCACGAGGATACACTACCTATGTGGCAAAGAAAATTACAACATTCTCAGCGGCACCTACTTAGCAACCGTCCCTATGAGCTGCTCCTTGGACACACCCGACTTTACAATCACCAATATTAACGACGTAGTTGAAGGACAACCGCTGAAAATAATGAAGCTGACAACCGACATTGAGGAACCGCCCAAAGGAAATTCTCAGATTCATCTTAATTCCATTGACTTGCGAAGGCTGCATGACACTAAGCACAGGGTGATAACGCAGCCAACTCTGGAAATAAAGCAAGCGTCGCCGGACTACACAGTATATCATACAACGATTCCGCTTTATATCATTCTATTAAGCGCACTCGCACTCACCATGCTGCTACTTATAAGACGAGGCGAAATATTCCGACGCAGATCTGAAAGATCACCCCCCAAAGACAAGATCTATGCAGTACCCGAGACATCTGAAAAGACCAAGCAGCATCCATCACTATTTTCTCAGAGAAGCCTTCAAAAATAAATGATGATCTGAAGGGGGAGGTGTTATATCAAGCTCTCACTAGTAATTTGCATTAAGCGATGACCTCGATACAGCACCTGCTGACACCGCTCACGCGTGCCGCCACCGGACGCAACGTGATCACCGCCGCTGACACAGCACCCCGATTGACGTCAATGCGCGTTTACCGCGATGCAACATTTTTATTTTATAAAATTAATTTTAGGTATTCTGTATCTAGCATCGATCAGGCATAGACTTAAGTTTAATTGTAAAATTAGTTTTCATTAAATTTACTTAAATAAATTTGGTTTTTTTGGGTCCTTCGGCTGTGGTTCCTATAACTAATGTCTGTTTAATCAATATTTTGTATTTCACAAAAAAAAAGTAAGTATTTTGGGTTAAATATTGCCTAGATCCATGGCATTGCTCCCTCTCTCTCTATGTTTCTCTCTCTCTCTCTCTCTCTATCTCTTTCTCTCTCTCTATAGTGTTTGTAAAGTTTCATTACAATCGGTTCAGCCATTGCAAAGATTAGCCTGGACAAACAGACAGACATATATAGGTAGACATATAGGTAGACGAATTTTTTAAAATGGTTAGTCATGTCTTCATGTTTTAATGACATTCGATAATCTCCTCATCTCAATATTAGGCAGTTATTTCGATATTAGTACATCAATTTTATTAATAGATTGATGATAGCTTATCAAAGATTTTAATTACGAGTGTAGTTATAACTTCATACCCTTGACCTCAAATTTTGTTAGGCGCTCAGAAGGTTGCAATAAGAATTGAGCTGTGAAGTGGCCAGCCGTTGTTTGAATGCTAATTATATTAGCAGTCTGATAATGTGTGATAAAGATCTAATGGATGAATCCTTTACTATAATTGAAGGTCAATCTAGCGTTCTTACTAGTGAGGAAGAAGAAAACCAGTCTCAAATACAACATGTAGGTAACAAAAACTGTGGTTCCCGCTAAGTGCGTTATCAGAATCAGCATTCAAACGTATATATATATAACTACACTCCAGAAAACTAAGTAAACGTGGTAGAGCCATGCTTCAGATATATTAATAGTATAGTTGTAGCACGAATGGGTCGGCTCGACCGAGGAAAGACCACGCTCTCACAGAATACCAGCGTAAAATAGCCGTTTGATGCTGCTGTGTTTCGCATGTGGAGTGTAGATAACCGCAGACCCGTTTTACTGGAAAAGAGGCATTCTATCTTAGTCTTCACGGCTGACAACGCATCTGCATTTTAATTCGCAAACGAAGATAGATGTAGATGTCTATGGGCCACAGCAACCACTTACCATCAGGTGGACTGTGTGCTCCTATGTCACCTTTATTCTAGAAAAAAAAAACATGAAAGCGCTTTTGGCTCTAAATCGTTATTTACAATTCCCAATTTTAACCCCGCCCCCGCCCCCGTCGCAAAAAGGGGTGTTATAAGTTTGAACGCTATGTGTGTGTGTGTGTGTCTGTCTGTGTATCTCTCTGTGGCACCGTAGCTCTTAAACGAGTGCAACAATTTCAGTGCGGTTTTTTTTAAATTTAAAAGCGGCTTTTCTGGCTGTGGTTCTTAGACTTGTTATATCTTTATTGTGACTTGGTTTATTGGTAATCTGCTTTTATTTGTGAAAATGATTTCGACTTAGATTTTGCATGCCGTAAGCGCAATGCGCGTAGGTATATTCTACTAGCGCCTAAAAATCAAGATTCCAAAGTTTTGTAGCACGAAATCGTATCTAGCAATCATATTATACATATAAATTATATAAAAAGCACATTGTCAGAAAGATAAATGATTGTTGAACTTATTAACATCTTTTTTAAATCGATTAATCGCTATTTTTACATAAAAAGGGGTTTTAGTGGCTTACGGTGTGGATTTATCAAGTCCGTATGGCTTCGTAAACACGATAACTTTTGAAAATATCAATTGTTCAACTCAATCTATTTTTTAACCTCTTTATCTATCATGTGGGAAGCCATGGAATGTAAATGGCAGTTTAATTTTGTTTTGTTTAGTTATAATTAATTTTTTTCAGCTAAGAAATGTCGAAATTTTCGGTGTTTTCGCAGCCTTGTGTGAATTCATTTTAGTAAATAGAGACTGCTTCACTCGGTTAGTTCGGCGTCAACCACCGTTGTGAGTTGATACTGTGTCGGTTGTTTGCAGCGGCTCAAAAAGATCGCTGTACAAATAAATACAAACTATTCGAAAAACCATACATTCTTGATTATTATAATAATCAGAGATTTTTATTACAATATTTGAAAAGCACAGAATAAATAATAGTAGTACGTACTAAAAGTAAGTAGGATGTAAGATTTATACTTAAATACGTCTTCGACTTTTTGGAGTGACGTGAATGATGATATGATGATCATATGAGTATTATGAGTCGTGCACTTCGGATTTTCCAAACTTTTTTCAAATTGAAGTTTGACATAAAATTATCGGAAAATTGGAAGAATGATAAGGTTATCAGTGAAAACTTGTGTGTATTTAAACTACTTTAAAACATTCCGTATACGTAATTTTTTAATGCGATTAGGGCATGCTCACCTGCTTCACCTGCGTATATCACGAAAAAATCATTATTTAAGTCTAGCTGAGAGGAATGAGGAAGAAGAAGAATTGAGGGTATGTCGAGAACAAACCCCCTAACCCCCACTCGTTTGTGCAGTTCAAAGTTCAGTGTAGGTATTGCCGAATATTCCAAAGTCATTTTAATTCAAATCATTCTAAGAGTGAAGTCATTCTACTCGTGCTAAGATAGAGTCGTGGTTCTGTCTGTTGTGTTCGTTCTTCTGCTGCAGGCAAAGAGGATGGTGTTGCTAAGAGGCTATCTTGACATTCACATTGAGGTAGATAATGTTGTTTTTGATTTGCATACTTTGGTGTTATTATGTAATTATTATTCACGTTACACCAGTGAGTAATTTTGACTAAGTCATATTACGGTATGGTTGAAATGTAATTGCCTATACTGATTTTATAGCGCAGTTACGCTGTTTTATTGCCGCTAATGATTAATTGCGTAAGCAAGAGAGTAAGTTGAAGATCCTTCACACATTTACTTTTTTAACTGATTTCTAGGAGAAGGAAGAACTCTTTATGATGAACTCTTTTCTACCAATGTCAAAAAGGAGGAGGTACTCAGTTCGACTGTATGGTTTTTTTTTCTTTTTCTACCGACTTCAATAAAGAGACGGTACCCAATTCGACTGTATTTTTTTTGTGTGTATGTTTTTTTTTTATGTATCCCCGGTCGAGCCGATCCATTCATGTTACAAACATAATATAGCTGCAGCATGAATCTACCACGTAAAACCCTCACGTAAATTTATCTATAACCCTTTCAGATATGAGAGTAGGCCTGTGCTCATCAATGGGATGTAACTTCTTTAATATTTACTCTACATTGCCTTTGTTCATACATATTTTAGCAAAAGCCCAGTGGTTCCCGTTGAGTGTGTTACATCATAACATTTTTCGAGTAAACCGATTTCGATGATTCTTTTTTTATTTGAAAGCTGGTGCTTCTCTTGTGTTTTCATATAAATCATCAAGATCTGACTAATAGTTTTTGAGTATTCTTAATAATTTACATTGAAGTTGATTGTACAAAGCTTTTAATTTTAAATTATTATTCTAGCCTCTGAAAAACAGGTATAATATCCTAGTTTAAGGGCTGTTGACCGTTGTAAATATTTGTGAATGTAATATGTTTATTAATAAATATTATTATTATATTATTATTTATTATTATTATTTCCAGGTGCATTCCCACAGAAAGTGGACCTTTTCTAGATCCGACTCTTCGATGAAAAATGAGATTGACTTCATAATGGTGACCAGACACCAACAGTTACCCGACGTGTTAGTGAGAGGCACCAGAAGTATTAAGTGAGATGGAGAGGTTCTAAGGACAGCTGTACACACCATCGTGGACAATCATGTAAGTGTGAGTAATGATTCAAGAACTATATTTAGATATCATCGAAACCTATTCCGATCATATCTATATAAAGTGCTGGAGCGTCAGTCTAAGCAAGATTAGAATAATTCTTCAGCACATTAGAAACGATAAGACCCTGGTTGGGTATAGAATAACAGCGGAGCTTATGAAAGTGGGTGAAAAACCGGTTTCAAGTACCGGTCCTTCAAAAGCTTTTCAATTCAATTCAATCCTCTATGGTGGCACTGTAGAGACCACCGCACTTCTGGCTATCCCGAAGGAGTAAAGCAGGAATGAGGTAGCCTTGTTCTTAAATAAAAGGGCAACTACTCTTTATTGAAGAACTACAAACTGATTTTTCTTCTCAGCCGCTTCTACGTGCTGTATTGTAGAGACAATACAAATGATCTCGCACGCGGAATTGATAACTTCCAGCCTATCGAACTAGCCAGTTATCTAAAAGAGCATTGTTTCATAGACCACATACACATCTTGGGCAAATTGCACACAAGACTTAAGAGTACATTCTGCCACTTTGTCTTACGTCAGGAGACTATAAGAATGCCTTGATACCGTCGAATTTTGGGCGACGCTACAGTCCCTTAAGCGATGCTATGTCGGTTGTCGGTATATCGTTGCTGAGATTTCTATACAGTAGGGCTACGATGGCGATGTGTGTACTGAACCAGAGTACGAGGCCTATTCAACTGCAGAGAGGTGTAAAACAGGATGAAGTTATATCCGAGACGAGATAAAGGTTATTTGTAACAGTATCACACTTATATATTATCACACTTATATCACACTTTTTGAGGCTACTAATATAAATATAAGTACTTAAGTTATTTTATTTAATATATATTATAATTAATTATTTGTATTATGTTTATATATTTAAACATTTAATATGTATATATACATAAGTAAATAATATATATGTATGTATATATATATCTTATATGTTTATATATATATATATATATATATATATATATATATATATATATATTTATATATATATAAAGGTAACGTAATATATCATTCTAC